CCGCCCCTGCAGCTGGCTTTGCCGCCTTTGCTTCACCTTGAGCTACAATGTGGTTCTCCTGTTTGATGCCCAGGAGACCGCCTTCCGCGCGGTGTACGGCACCCTGGAGTTCATTCCCTTCCTTGGGATCGGGTTCAACATCTACTTCCCGATCATGATTGCCGTCGTCTGCCTGGTGGTCTTCTTCGACATCATGCCGAAGCTCTTTTCGGTCCTGCCCTTCACCAAGGTCTTTGCCTTCAGCGAGTATTCCGATGGTGATGGCGAGGACCTGGCCAAGGGCCGCGACATGCTGGAGTCCCGTGCGTGCCTTCTGCTCATCTCCTCCGCCCCCCCCCTCCTCGATGGCCAAATGTTTGTGCACATGCCACAGGCCCCTGACCGACACACCGTTCCCCCGGGCCACAGTTCGCGCCCAGGCCGAGCGGGCCCCGAACGCCGAGTTGCACACCCTCAAGCCGGCCAACATCGCTGATGCCCCGGCCGCTCCCCGGTCCCAGCGGACCAACAAGGTACATCCGCTCCTTTCCTCTCTCTCTCTCTCTCTCGCTCTCTCTCGCTCTCCCCCTCCCTCTTCCTCTGGCTATGCGTCCTCCCTTCCTGGCCTTCGGCTTCTGACCACCGATGCGATGCTCACCGTTGTCACCTCCTCTCCCGCCTCGCCGGGCGTTCCTCCCCGGTGCAGCTCGTCAACGAGCTCTTTGGCGGCACCGCGCGCAACACCTCGGCCGAGGTCACCCAGAGCGCCCTCACCCGGCAGGCCATGCAGGAGAAGTACTTCTCCAAGGGCCGGACCCCGGGCACCCCCTCGCCCTCATCCTCCTCCTCCGGCAGCAGCGCCATGCAGTCGTACCAGGCCCTGGAGGGCGGCCCCGAGGGCGACGGGCTGGCCCCGGCTCCGGCCTCCGGTGGCGGGTTCTTCCAGCGCTTTGTTTCCGGCTGGGGGGGAAGCGCCACGACTGTGCCGGCGCCTGTGGGCTCGGCCGGCGCCGATCTGGAGGCCGCCACTTCCGAGCCGGTTCTCTCGTCGCTCAATCGCTCCGACCTCGGGTACGGGCGCCATCCGTCACAGGCCGGCCCCCCGCGCGAGGTCAACACCAGCTCCTACAACGACGTGCGTGCCCCTTCGGCGCTCTTTCCCCCTGTACCATGCGTTTGCGACCCCCCCCCCCCCCCCCCCCTGGCCAGTTTTTCTCCATGGACGCCAGCGAGCATGACGCCTTCACCAGCGCCCCAAGCCAGTCGTCCCGCGGACGGGTCTTCGGCACCGGGTCTACCACCTCCCCGTCCACCTTCACCTTCGACGGGACCACCAACTTCCGGTGAGCAGCCCGGTCCTTGTCCTCCTTCTGTGCCTCTCCTCCCCTGCCACGAGCCCCGGGGGCACTGGAGACCCATGCGAAAGGGACCGCGCATCTCCCCGACACATCTCTCTCCCCTCCTCTTCCCCACACGCACGCACGCACACACGCACGCACGCGCAATATACCTTCTTAGATACCGCCCTCCCTCTCCGTTGTGTGCCCGTATTTGGCCCCGCTGAGCACCGGGCGCTAGATCGGACCGATCGATCGCGCGGATCACATGATCATCTTCTGACGTCGGGTCATTGTTTTCGGCTCCTCCCGGCCAGCGGTGCCGGAGGCGGCCCCAGACACGGTGGGCCCCCCCTCTCTTTGTTGTTGGCGAGCCAGCGAAGGGGGGGGGGGCGGGGGGCGACTGGGCGCATCGCACTGCCTCGGGGGCGGAGCACCTTCTTGGCGGCCCGACGCGCCGGGGGCTTCCCCGACCACTGGTGGATGTGTGTGGGTGTGTGGGTGTGTGGGTGTAAATGCGAGTGCTTGTGCGCACTCTCTTGAATTCCCCCCCCCCCCCCCCCGGCCCCCTGTGCTGGCGGGGCCGGGCAAGTGGGGAGTGTTTTTTTTGGGCCGCCCATGGGCCGGGAGCGCCCTCCCCCCCTTGCGCGCGTGACACTCCACACCTACCTTCCTTCCTCCCCTCTCTCTTCCCCCCCCCCTCCTTCCCTCTTTCTTTGTCTACCTCCCGCCGCGCTTCTCCTGCTCGGCCTCCCCCTTTCCCCACCCTCCCTCTTCCCTCTCCCCGCTCTTTTAACCGTACGCGGTCGGCCATCGTGCGCACGCACCCGGCGCCCCGCTAATGGCTACGCCACTTCGGGCCGATACGGTTCCCAGTGGGGAGGACCCCCTCTCGGCCCCGGCCCCGGCCCCAGCCCCAGCCCCGGCCCCGGCCCCGGCCACGGTGTCGGAGCCGATGCCAGACCCCGCGAGCCCAGCCAGCCCGGCGGCCGGCGAGCCGGCTGAGGACCCGGAGGACGCGTATTCCCGGATCTTCGAGCGGCGTCGGCAGCAACGGGCCCGTGAGGCAGCTCCTCCAGGGCCCTCCGGCGAGCCGGCCGGTCCGGCCATGCAGGATGCTTCTGTTGAGCCGGCGGCCGGGGCCACCGAGTCCCTGGCGTCTACCGTTGCCTCGGTAACGCCGGCCGTCCTGGCCAGTGTGCCGACCTTCCTGTCTTCGCTGTCGTCGTTTGTTCGGCCGGCAGCTGGCGGACCGGCCGACAACCAGGCCAAGCAGGCGTCGGCTACCACCACCACCACCGCCGCCGCCGCCGCCGCCGTTGCCGCCGGCGGGGCTGTCACTGCAAATGCTCCTTCGCCGGCCACGCCGGCCACGCCGGCCACCGGGCCACGGCCGGCGCCCGGCGAGGGCCCGCCTCTGGCGGAGCAGCTCCGCAAAACGCAGGACGAGCTCCAGCGCCGGTGCACCCAGATCACTCGACTGGTGGCCGAGCTCAAGCGGCAAATGTCCCACCGGGACGCCTTGACCGAGACCTTCCGGCAGTTCACCCCCTTCGACGATTTGACCGATGTCCCGGCCATTGGCCAGTTCTTCGAGATGCAAGCGGCCAGCCTAGAGGTGCGCTGCTGGGCGGGTCTCCGTGCCGGCTCCCCGCATTCTCTCCCTCTCTCGCCTTTCCCTTTTCTGCCACACTTTCCCCTGCTCACCCCCCTCTTCCCGGCTGCCCCCCTCGCCCCTCCCCGCATACACACACACACACACACACACACACACACACACACACACACACCTGTCCCTCTCACCCGGGCAGGTCGCTCGCAAGGAGTACTCCGAGGTGTCGAAGCAGCTGGACTCGCTGAAGCAGGCCAATGATCGGCTACTAAGCACGCATGCACGCCTGACGGCCGAGCACGAAGCCACCCGGACCCAGGCCGAGGCGGCCAAGGCCGGGCGTCAGCAGCTCGAACAGCAGGTGGCCCAGCTGCAAGAGCGCCTTGAGGAGGCCGCGCAGCTGACTCAGGTCCTGGAGGCCTCGGCCTCGGACCGGATCAGCCAGATCGAGCAGAGCCTGTCGACCCAGCTGGAGGCCGAGCGCGGGTCCCTTTTGGCGGAGCGCGAGGCATTTGCCTCGGAGCGTGCCACCTCCGAGGCCAAGTTGCGTGCGGCCATCGAGGCGGAGCTGCGCGGCGTGGTGGAGTCCGAGCTTCGCCAATCGATCGAGGCCGCTGTCCAGGCCTCCGCCGAGGCGGACCGGGATGCCCGTGAGGTGGCCATGCGCGCCTCGCTCGAGGAGGAGCTTCGCACGTCCCTCGGACGGGAGCTCCAGGCGTCCATTGAGGCCGACCTGCGGGCTTCCATCGAGGCCGACCTACGGGCTTCCATCGAGGC